ACTCTGGGAGAGGATGGGTAGCCAGCCCAGATCCCACCGCCTCTTCCCAGTTGTCTTCTTTTTTTTTTTGCGGTACGCGGGCCTCTCACGGTTGTGGCCTCTCCCGTTGCGGAGCACAGGCTCTCGACGCGCAGGCTCAGTGGCCATGGCTCACGGGCCCAGCCGCTCCGCGGCATGTGGGATCTTCCCGGACCGGGGCACGAACCTGTGTCCCCTGCATCGGCAGGCGGACTCTCAACCACTGCGCCATCAGGGAAGCCCCCAGTTGTCTTCTTGACTTGACTGTGCCTGGCTCAGCTTTCCCCAGGAGTTCAGTGTGAGCCTCCACATAGGGACCAGGCCTGCAGACTATGGACTTCTGGGTGCTGTCGACCTCATGGCTCCTTGGGAGGAGTGGAGTGTCCTGGACACCCCACCCCTATGAGTCAGGAGAGCCAAGCTCCACTCAGACTCATTTTCCATGATCTTGGCACCTTCCCTCTCTGGGCCTCAGTTTCCTTATCTGAAAAAGGGGGTGATAACCCTGCCCTTGATATTGGAAGTAAAGGACTTGTAGGCTGAGCAATGCTGGGCAAAGGTGTGGGCCTGTGGTTACTATTGAAATAGAAACTGAATGGGGACCTGGGTGGGGGATTCTAACCGCAGATCTTGGGACCCACGAGCTCTAGGAGGCCTCCCATCCACTAGGTGATACAATTACCCTCCCCATTTACCCACAGTGATGCCAAGGCTTAAAGGGGGCAAAGTCATCTGCCCAGAGGCGAACAGGGGTCCCACTCTGGCCTCTGCAGATGGGCTTGAGAGGTTAAAAAAGCCCCCCGAGGGCTCCCCTGGTGGCGCAGTGGTTGAGAGTCCACCTGCCGATGCAGGGGACACGGGTTTGTGCCCCGGTCCGGGAAGATCCCACATGCCGCAGAGCGGCTGGGCCCATAAGCCATGGCCGCTAAGCCAGCACGTCCGGAGCCTGTGCTCCGCAACGAGAGAGGCCACGACAGTGAGAGGCCCACATAACGCAAAAAAAAAAAAAAAAAAAAAAGCCCCCCGGGTTATGTGCAAAAGGACACATTTGCTTCTGGAGAGGAAAGGTCTTCTGAGCCACAGCTCCCCCGGAAGCTGCCCATCTTCCTGAAGCTGGCGGTGCCGCAGGGCCTGAGGAAGTGAGGCTCACGCGAGCGTTATTTCCTTTGTGGGAAGCTCTGCCATGACAGTCATCTTCCCGGGGGCATGGTCTCTAAGACCTGGTGCCGGGTTGAGGAGAGGGTGTCATTGGGCCACAGTGGTCCCCAAATCTGCCAGAGGACATCTACAGGGCACGTGGTTCCCATCTCTGGCCGGGGTGTTGGTCAGGGGAGGGAGGGGTGCAGGCAGCGTGAGAAGGGGAAGCTGCCAGAAGAGGAACCCACTTTTACTAGTGCTACTGGGGCCCGCCCACCTGTGTCTCCTAACCGCGGTCTGGAGCTCAGACCACGCATGCGCCATAGACCCACAGCGTCAGCTCCCCCGCCTCCAGGGCTCCTGGCTCCTAGGCACCCCTCTTGTCCGTGATTCCTGTCTCAGCGACTTCTTTGCGCCCCACTTTTCCTACTGTTCCCATCTCTGGCTGGGAAGGGGACCACAGCTCCCCACCTCCTGGGGCAACTCCAGCCAGTCCTGTGACGCCCCACCCCAAAGCCCAGATAGCTCTGTCTCTGGTTGGTGTCTTAACATCCCACCTCGCCCCCACCTCCCCTCTCTCTGCCCAGGAAACTTCAGACTTCACCGCAGCTTCCTGCCTCTCAGGGTGTCTGGGCAGGCAGATGAGCTGCTAGGGCAATGGGTGCTCACAGCGCCCGCCCCCTTCACCTTTGCGCACTGAGAGCTCCGTCACCCCTCCATCCACCCTCCCGCCGCAGTGGTGTCTGTAACTGCTTCCGCAGGACGGAGACAAGTAGCCAGGCTCTCCTCCCACACGGACCCCTGTGGCTGAGGTCCTGGGTGTGGAGAAATTCAGCCTCTCGGGGTGGGCCACCCCATCCCACAGCTCTGAGCACCACTGGTTGGCTGGAAAGATGCTCGCTCCCCTGCCCCCCACCTCCCACCATAGGGTCTAGCCCATCAGGTTCGAGAATCTTCTACCATAACCTTTACTAGACTTGGGGCTTCCCTGGTGGCGCAGTGGTTAAGAATCTGCCTGCCAGTACAGGGGACATGGGTTCGAGCCCTGGTCCGGGAAGATCCCACATGCCGCGGAGCAACTAAGCCCGTGCACCATAACTACTGAGCCTGCACTCTAGAGCCCGTGAGCCACAACTACTGAGCCCGCGAGCCACAAGTACTGAAGCCTGCACGCCTAGAGCCCGTGCTCCAAAACAGGAGAAGCCACCGCAGTGAGAAGCCCACGCACCGCAACGAAGAGTAGCCCCTGCTCGCCGCAACTAGAGAAAGCCCACACACAGCAACGAAGACCCAACGCAGCCATAAATAAATAAATAAACAGATAAATAAATAAATAAAACCACCATTACTCATCTCTACCTGGGCCACTCCCTTCACCCTGTCTCTATCTTTTTCTAGTTGATCACCTGGCCATTCTTTCTGCCACTTTCTTCGGATATCTGTCCACCAGAGAGAGAGACAAATCTCATCACCTTTATCACAAAGGACCTTCTCCAGGGGTGTCTCTGCACCCAGGTTTCTTTTTCATTCATGCATTCCACAAGCCTCGCTCTAGGACAAGCACCACGCTGGGCACTGGCGTGTGGAAGAGAAATGACCCAGGCTTTCCTTCATGCTCCTCCTGACAGTGGGGCTTCCCAAGTCACAGCGGGACACCCTTGAGGGGACAGCCACGTCTCTTCCCCCCAGAATATCTCTCCTGGGCCGTCCTGCTGACTGTGAGGCCAGTCTACTCCCCCAGGGATGCCACTGAGAGGTTCAAACCCCAGCTCTGCTTTTCTGCCGCCTGGAACAGTCCTGCTGGGAAAGCAGGGGGTGGGGGCCGACACAGAGCTCTGCAGGCAGCGGGTTCAAAAGAATAGGCTTGGGCTGGGGCCTGGGCCCGAATGGCAGGAGGTTAAAAAATCACAATGACAGTGAGCCCTTTGCAAAAGCCAGGCCCTGCACTAAGGGCTGCATGTCACATGAATTTGATGTAATCCTCACAACTATTTTAGCCTTGATTACAGAGAAGGAAACTGAGGCCTAGGTGTCCCCACTGACACGCAGCCAGGGGAGCCAGCATCAAAGCCCAGGTCTGACTCCAAAGCATGTGGCAGGAAGTTGTGGACAGGTAATCATTGCCCTGAGTGGTCACTGCTTCTGGTGATTTGGGAAGGAGCTCTCCCCATCCCTCCCACAGTAACTCTTAGTGAAAATCATTCCTTATACCAAGTAGAAGCTTTCCAGAACCTCTACAGGACAATCTACGCTGATAAGTTCTTTGAGCATCTTTCTCTGGGTGAGGCCAAAAAGACCAGAAGTGATCCTTACTCTGGGTCCGATGAGGGAGGCTGCGGTGAAGCCCTGAGGGCAGAGGAAGGAAGAGAGTGAAATCTTCCCTCTGACTCTCCCTGCCCCACCAGCACTCCACCCACAAAGTGGGGTTAATGAACCTGCCCCCACCTGGGTCCCGGACAGGAAACATGTGAAACTGAAAGTGTCCCAGACACACCACGATTTTTACTGCTCTTGTGGCCACGCCCTTGGGAATTCCTCAGACACCATTGGCTTTCCCAGTTCAGGGGGCTGGAGGCATGGCCCTGTTCTGGGGGCAGCCCTGCAGGGCCCTCATCCAACAAGAGAGGGCCCTTAGAGGCCACTATAGGGGGGACACACCCATATGGCAAAGTCAGGAATGAAGGAGGGGCCTGGGGCTGGGAGAGGCCCTTTCCTGAACCTCTCCAGGGTGGAATGAGAGATGTTACTGGCAGCCTTATGGAGCGGAGGGCAGGAGGGGGTGGTCTTGGATTTTGGCCCTATCCAAGACAAGCTGGAAGACTTCACCTCATACATACAAGGCTTGGCCGACAGGGGAAGGGACACCTGATGACATAGTTCCCTGCAAATTACTAAACACTGAGTCACAGAGGCTGGGTGAGGCCCCAGCTGGGATCCTGACCTTTGCTCCCCAAAGTCGATTCAGCCCAGAGGGGCATCAGGGCAGGATGGAAGCTCCCCAAGGGTACCAGTACCAGCAGTGTTACCCAAATCCTCCCGTTGGCTGTGCTCCTCCACCTATCCCTCAACAATAGGAACGCTGATGACTGTGACGCAATTAGCATAAATACACTTGCCTTAGGAGCTGCAGGTGGCCGAGAGAACCTTATTTTGGACCTACATTCCCTAGAGCTCTGTTCCTTCTTGAGTGCCAGGAAGAAACAGAACTGTAGCCACAGAATCCTAGAACCACAGGCTCAAAATTATAGACCATAGAATTCAGAGTCATGCACCATAGTCCATGGAATTCCAGAAACATGGGACTCAGAATGTGTAGCTCTAGGGCCCTAGAGCCTCAGGACTGTTGGCCACAGAATCCTGGAGTCACAGGCTCTGATCTATAGCCCAAAGTATTCTAGAACATAGGACCCAGAAATGCAGCCCACTGAACCCTAGCACCAGGGGACTCAAATCTGCAGCCCACGGAACCCTGAGAGACCACAGCATGTAACAGAAATCCTAGAACCATGATAAGCAGAAGCAAAGCCCACGGTTTTCTAGAACCATAGGAGAGGAAGGAACCCCTGAGCCCTCAGAACATCAGCGCTAAGAGGGTGGCTCAGGAACTCACCCCTTCCAAATACCCTCCTTTTACAGATGGGGTGACTCTGTCGGCCTCCAGCACCACCCAGTCAGGCGGTGGTCAACCGGTTCCCAGCCAGCGCCCCTCCGCAGCCTCCAGGAGTGACGGGATGTCAGGGCCCCGGGAGAGGCAGAAGGGCGGGCGGGGATGCCCGGCGGGGGATGCCCCTCAGGGGAAACGCTCCTGGCGGACCCTAGGACCCTCGCCGCGCAGACGCACTCACCGGCGGTGTCGTATAAGTTCAGGGTCACCTCCTTGCTGCCCACGGTCACGCTGGCCGTGTACTTCTCGAACACGGATGGGGCGTAGTGCTGTCGGAGAACGGGCAGGGTTGGTTCTTAAGGGGTGCGGCGGGGACCCAGGGTCCGACTGGATCCCCACCCCCACCTTCACCCCATCCGGCTCAGCCCCCCTCACTCTGCTGGGCTCTGGAATTCCCGAGGGGGCGCCCCGGGGTGACGGCCGCCTCTCCGTGCGCAGGACGCCAGGGACCTGGGGTCCGGGTTCGGGGCGCAGGCTGAGGTCTGTCCCTCACCCCCAGTGGTCCCAAGCCCGTCTCCCTCGCCCCCAGCCTGCCTCCAGCCCCCCGGCGGGCCTCACCTCGGGGAAGGACCCCTGGCTGTACACCATGAGCAGCGAAGTCTTGCCGCAGCCGCCGTCGCCCACAATCACGATTTTCAGCTCCTTCTTGCCGGGGCCCGGGGCGGCAGTCGGGGCTGGGGCCCCAGGCTTGTCCATAGCCGGGAGCAGGTAGCACTGGCGGCGGCGCCCTGAGGAGAGCGCTATGGTTGATTGATCCGGGGCGGGCGGGGCGCGGGCTGGCCCCTAGGGCGGGGCTAAGAGAAGCCCCGCCCCCGGAGACGGCACCTCCTCCGCCAGGCAGCCAGCCGAGTCGACCTCCCAGACTATTTCCTTCCTGCTAGGCTCTCGGCCCAGAGTCTTCACCTCTCATTCCCAGGGAAACTGAGGCAACTGAGAAACGGAGTGCTTAGCGGCAAGCGCAGCTCCCATCTCTCCTGCGAGTCACGGCGCCCCCCACACCCCAACCAGCAAGATCTGATAGTTTCCGCCCCTTCCCGCCTGGCACCCTTGATTGGCAGTCTCTGTCTTCAGGCAGGGACCCTCTGATTGGCCGACTCGGCCTCCTCCATCGGGCAGGGTCTCTTTGATTGGCGGACTGCCCCCCAGCCCTCGGGTTCGCGAAGCCTTGGTCTCAAGCTCTGGGAAAAGCCCCCCAGCTTCGTCCCGCCCCAACTATGTGGCCTCGGGGAAGTCCACTCTGACCTGTTTCCCCCCAGAAGGTAGCGTCGGTGGTTCCAAGAAAGATCCTGGCATAGGGGTCCTGTCTGCCCACGTGGTCTGGCCCTATAGGAGTGAGCCTGTGTGTGGGTTGGGGAATAGCGGTTCCGCTTACCTATCACCCCACCTCCCAAAGGTGGAGGTCTGGCGCCCTCTGCCGGGCGATGGCCTCGGCGCGGCAACTTTGGTAACAGGTGAGTGGCCCCAGAACCCTTTCGAGGGTTGGCCCCAAACCAAGCGGGCGGGAACCTCTTTCTAACAAGGCCCAGAGGCGTGGGAACCAAGCAAGACGCCGTCGAGAAGGGGAAGGGGAAGGTCAGGGTAAATCTAGTTGAGATCAGCTGGGCCCCCTTCCGTCCACTTTGGAGACTGATAACCCTGCTCCCACCATGAAATTTGTGTTCTCCAGCCAGCAGCCACATATCCTTCATCCCAAGCTTTCTCCTCAACCCCCGGACCCAAACTGCTATTTACTGAGCATTCACTCTGGCCAGGTACTATCAGGGCGTCTGGGCGAAACCACCCCTGCCTCCCACCCCTTCCCTCCCTTGGACTGTCTTTTACACAAACCAGGCCAGTGGTCAGGAGTGGCAGAGGGACCCCCAGGATCAGGCATGTACCAGGCAGGCACTGGGACATGGCTAGGTGAGAGAGCAGAATCTTTCCCAGCTGGGGAAGGACATCTGACAGTTTCCTCAGAGAAGGGCTGGCAGGATTCAGGATCTTCTTGCCCTCACCCCACCCAGAAGATTCCCCACTTTCAGGTACTCAGCAAGGATCAGGTAAACTTTACTTAGGAAAGGAAATCGTCAACCTGGCACCATAAATGCCAGGTCAACGTTTTCAGAGAATGCAATGCATAATCTGACCACCAGATGGCAGCAGAGACTGCCCCAGGAAGCCCCCAAAGAGCCCAGATCTGGGAAGAGAAGACCCAGCTCCAGGTTCTTAAGCGGAAAGCCCTACTCTGTCACCGGGCCAGAGGGAATCTGCTGGGTCAAGCACCCCTAGACAAATTTACAGCAATTCATTCATTCCTTCTTTGCAGCACACGTTTATTGAGAGGCAATTGTGTTCCTGCCTTTGAGGAACTCAGTCCTGGGGAAAGCAGTCTAAAGAAGTCTGCGAGACGAGAACAATTCAGACACCGGAGCCCCTGTGGGGTTCAGAGGAAGTTGAGAGCTAGGCAACACATGAACTAAGCTTGGCAGTGCTGGCAGGAAGGTCCAGTGGAAGTAGGATGGGTATCCAGCCTGAGTAAATGCATGGTGGCTGGAAACCCCATCAGGTTTGGCAGTGGCTGGGGCATGAGGAGGGAGGCCAGACATGGTTGTCAAGGTGGTGAGGGTTAGATCACAGTGGCCTGGCTATCAGGCTCAAGATGGGTGTCAGACAGAGGCTCTGAACAGAGGAGCCCAGCCAAAGCTCTTTCCGGTGACCAAGGGGGAGCTGTGATTGGCTGGTGAGGACAGAGCTGGGGCCATCTCTACACAGTGGCAGCCTGGGGCTGGCAGGAGAGGAGGGGGAGGAAGCCATCACTCAGGGAGAGGGAGGATGGAAGAGGGCTTTGAGGGAGGGGAGGACCACTTACCTTTGAGCCAGGCACAGGCCTGACCTCACATCAGATACCCTGAAGCTCAGGAAGTGACTGGGAGAGTAAGACTACCTCATCTGGGAAGGGCCTTGAGAGAACTCACTTAAGAGTTTGCCCATTCTGAGCAAACTGTGGGAACTGCTCCAGCCCGTAGGGAGAGGGCACTTGACTTTTCCTCAAAATCCTGAGACCTCGGATTCCACCTTTTCTGTCTAACTAATGGATTTCAACTTATAACAGAAAAAATGACTTACACGAAAGCAGGTCTTCCCAGGCCGGCCCAGGTCCGGGCAGGACAGCTGACACTGGCCCTAGCCTGCCCACCCACCCCTGCCTGGCTGAGAGGCTGGCACAGAGCCCCAGCCCCACCCGGCCTGGAGCGTGTTTGATTTGGACCTGGCTCCAGTGGTGGTGTAGGGGCTGGATCTGTAGCTAAAAATACCCAGCAGCCAGGCCAGCTGCTCGGAGCTTCCTTGGAGGTGCTGTGCCAGGGCAGGCCAGCTGAGGCACTGGGAACACCCACAGGCCCGGGGAGCCCTACTCCCTTACCTGCAAAATGTTCCGAGGACCCATGCCATTCTTCTATTCACCAGGAATTCCTGGAGAGATTTAGGAGGGTAAGAAACAATTCTTTAAACTGGTTCTTGCCACAAAGCTGTTGAGACACAGAAGCCTAGGGGAGCTGGCAGGTGGCATCTGCGGGGGTGAACTGATTTGTGCTCACATCTAGGCCTGGGATCTAGTGAGGCCAACTGACCACAAGAGAGAAATAGGGCCAGATCCACTTCTGTCTTGTCAGGGCAAGGTCTGGCCAGCACAGGTCAGGACAGGGACGTTAACGACAATGCTAATGGCTTCCACTTCCCTGGTGCCTCAGCATACTCTGGGAGGTCACTACACACCTGAGGGATCATCCACCCCACGTGAGACAGAAGTAACTGACCATCCTCTGGGGCCCCAGGGATGGGAGGTGGCCCAGCACAGCCTGGGGATCAAGGCTGTCTATCCCTGTCCCAGGACTCTCTCCAGGCTCAACATCTGGTGGTGGGCTCAGGGGAGTCACCACCAGAGTACAAAGAGCTACCTCCACCCACAAAGCCAGACTCAGAGACAGGTCAAAGGTTGTCTGCCAACCTCCTCCTCCTGGTTCACAGGGGAGACCACGACTCCTGAAGGGGTAGGAACTCATCGAGGTCACTGGCCAGATGGAGACAGCACTGGACCCAGGCGGCCTCTGAGATGGCGGGGTGCCCATCTCCACAGTCCAGGCAGAGGTTCAGTTTCCACCCAGGGGGTCCAAAAGTCGTACTCCACGCCTCGGCTCTCGCCCAACGGGCCGTAAGGGGCGGGCCCCTGGCATCCAGTAGGAAGGCAGGTCCGGCCACCTCCAGCCGCCCTTCCGCTGGCGTGGCCCTCTCCAGGCAGGCTCCACCGGCTGGGCGCCAGGAGCAGCCCCGCCCCGAGCTTGCTGGGTGACCGGTGGGTGGAGCCACGCTCTCGGCAGAGGAACCAGTCTGAGGACTGATAGGCTGCCCCGCCCCTCCCTTCACCTAGGAGGTACTGGCGTGCCAGACAAAGAAATTAGAAAGAGGGGGTGAAAAAAGGAAGCGGGGAGGGGTACGATCCTTTCAGGTCATCGGGACCCCTCTCCCTTCCAAGAATCACACCCGGACCACAGTGGAGCGCCTCATTGTTCCCTAATTGGTCCCAGGGCGGGAGTGGAGGAACTGGCTGTAACCCTCCAAGCTGCTGCTGGGAGGGAAAGGTTTAAATCAATTATTTAACTATCCAACGACCACGGGAGGTAAAGACCCCAGCCCCGTGGAGCCCCAAGGGCTCTATCAGAAGGGATGCAGGACACCCTCAGGGGGCAGAAAGGTCACCTGAGAATCCAGGGAGTTGAATGAACTCATCAATGGCAGAGCCGAATTTAAACCGCCAGATTGGGGCAGACTGTGGAAGGAGGGAAAGGCTCGTATGATACTAATAATGTGAGCCTCGCCAACTTTTACAAAGTGCTCACCCTGGGTAGGGGGAAGGGAGTCTGCTGCCAGGTGTGGTCGGCTGCACCCCTTGCCCCCCAGCAAAAGACAGCATGGACCAAATCCAGCTTATCTGGAGACCCTCATGGCGCCAAGGCATGGCAGCCAGAAGGACCTAAGAGTACCACGCTGGTTACTTTCAACCAAATAGCTTTCCCAGCTCCCAGGCGGTGACGCCAGCAGACAGCTAGCACTGGCAGGAGCCCAGAATAACCCAGCAGCTGGGGCGAGGGGGTGCCATGCACACAGGTGCTGGGCTGGAAGACACCTGAAATCTCATCCTGACTGCCGGTGGTGACCTCCTGACCTTGGGTGAGTCACGTTACTCTCCGGGTGGGGGGAACCCCCCAAACCATGACCCATCATGGAACAACAGCCTGTGGACTTGAGAAAAGGCCACCATCCCAACTCACACGCTGGAGTAAAAATGGAGCTGGCTCCCAGCCTGCAGAATGTCAGCCTTCCCCTTTGCCCTGAGACTCTGCCACGTGCTACGAGGTGGGCTGGTGGGGGAGGAGCTCTCGGACAGCCCAGCCCCACCCCCCGCAGCCACCTCCGAAGAGGGGCCAACTGGTGTGAAGCCTGTGAGGCCGGCCCCCTTAATCGCACTTAATCCGCCCTCCACCCTTTACTGCAGGCTTCATTATCATCACTTTACACAGGAGACTCGCCCAAGGTCAACTAGCACAGGGGAGAGTCAAACCCACAGCTGCCTGCCTTAGAGCCTCCCTCGATTAAGCACCAACACGCCCCCAACAAAACCTCTGGGCAAAACCTCTGGGTCAAGCCCTACGGCTCCCCCAGTCCTCACTCCAGCCCCCAAGCTGAAGAATGGGATAAAAGTGAGCAGAGCCTATTAGACCCGGAAGTCAAGCCTGGGCCCGAACGGGGGAGGCGGCGCAATCAGCAGCACCTGGACCCAAATGGCTCATCAAAGTAATCACAAACTAAAGATCACATGGGGGAGGGGTCAGAGATCAAGAGCCGCACTGTCTCCAGCTGCGGAGCTTCCTGGAGCTAAAGAGAATGGGAAACTGCATGCTGTCAGCTAGCGTAAGGAGAATAAGGAGAGAGCTGCCATCTCTACGAAGCGACACCTCCGCACCAAGAAATAGTTCGGGGTTCCAAGAGCACATGCTTGGATCCTCACAACACCCCAGGTGTTACCTGGCCCAAAGGTTCTCAAAATGTCTCCACACGGCAGCATCAGCATCACCTGGGAACTTGTTAGAAATGCAAGCTCTCAGGCCCCACCTACTGAATGAGAAACTCAAGGACCGGGCCTCGGAGTCGATTCTAATGAGCCACCCGTGTGATTCGGCTGCACACTCAACTCTGACAATCACTGACCCATCTGTGCAGATGGTGAAACTGGGGCTGAGGATCTGTGCTGCTTAGGCAAGGTCACAGCAGGTGAAATGGCTAGCCAGGTTTCAAATCCGGGTTTCTCCCGTTCTACAAACAGAGCTTTTTCTTTTTCTTTTCTTTTGTTTTTGGTGGTGGTGGGGGGCCTGGGTGAGGTGGAATCGTGGGAATTCCCTGGAAGGGGAAGAGTCAAGAAACCTCTTTCTTAAAGAAAGCTGGCCCAGATCTCAAGTCTTTCTGTTCTTCACCTCCCTGGCAGCCAGACATCAGAGGGGAAGAGGCCAGCTCACACAGTCACCCCACACGCTCCCAGCTGAGGCCGGAAGGGAGGGCCAGGGCCGGGCCCGGTTTCCTGGCAGCTGCCTGTGTCTTTCAGAAGAGGCATCCAGGGCACTCCACCCACCACACAACTGGGAAATATTGGGTTGGCCAAAAAGTTCGTTCGGGCTTTTGTAAGATTTTACGGAAAGACCCGAACTAACTTTTGGGCCAACCTAATACATGCAAGTGCAGCCTCTCCTATGCTGCTAAATATGGCAAAGAATTGCACGCCCCAAACTCCTGACAACGGAAGCTGACAGGCGGGGATGGATGGACCAAGCAGGCCCAGCAGGCAGCCGATTTCAGTCCCACACATCTGTTGGGGGGGGGGGAAGGGCTGCAGAACCAGACTAGCAGGTTTGGGGTGCCCGCCCTCCCTGGGCTCCAGGCCAAAGCCCCCCAAATCTCTCTCGCAGGCTGGGAAAGGGCTCACACCTACCTTAGTAGGAGGACTGTCAAACTAGGCCTGCTTCTGTCCAAAGGAGGACGGTCCACTCTGGGGGTACCGGGCCCCTTCTCCGGTCATGATCCTGGGGGGAAAAATCGGAGGGTGTTTTAGGGCGTCGATGGCCACAAACCGGATACGATCTCCATGAGGGAAGGGGAGCCTTACAAATGCCGCTCCCCCCTTCCCAGCTGCCAAGGCAGCCCTCACTCCAGAATGAATAGGAGGGGGGTGTGGATGAATCACTAAGGTTCAGCCGGGGCGCCGAGCAGCAGGCGGCGGCTCATCTGCATTTCCAAAGGCCCGCCCCGTCCGCATCCCCTCCCCCAGGAAGGGCCGGAGATGCGAGGGTTTACCCCAGAGCCCTCCGCCTCTGGGGATCCCGGGGCAGGCCCGCTCGGCTTTCCCAGGCCCCAAACCCCACCCCACCTTGCAGAGCGCCGGCTGTGCCTGGACGGCCACCTAGGGACGTCGGTGGCCAGCGTGAGGGCCTCACGCCCCAAGTGGGGACAAAAGGGGCCCACCCGCCCCTCGGGCTCGGCTATCAAAGGGCGGTTGGAAGCCGGACGTGGGCGCCGAGGCTCGGGGTGGGCAGCAGGGACGGCCTGGGATCAGGGCCGGGCCGCGGGGAAGAAGTCCGCGGCCTCTGGAGGAGCCGATCGGGGTCACGGGGTGGCCTCGAGGCCCCGACTGGCCCGGTGGCCCTTTGCTACTGGCTCCCGCGCGGGAGGGAAGAGAAAAGACCCCGCGACCGCGCCGGCCTCCTCGTGCCTCCGGGGGCCCCCAGGTCGGGAGCGGGGTCCGAGGAGGCTGCGGAACCCGCGCTCTTCGTCGAGGTTTCCCCGGGCCAGGGGCGTCCCCGCAGGCGGAGGCCTGGAACGCGGGCGGCGCCGCGGCGGCCTCCCCTCCCCCCACCCCGGCCCCGCCGCCTCCTTCCCTCCTCCCGCCTGGCGCGCGGCGGCCGCCACCGCCCGAGCCGCGGGCGGCGCGCGAAATGGCGCCCGTCTGACCGCCTCGCCCGGCAGAGGCGAGCGCGAAAGCCGCGGCGCGCGACGCCCCCAGGCCCGCGGCCCCCAAAACGGCCTCCGTGACCACCCCTCGACCCGGGGTGCTGTGTCCTGCAGGCTCTCGGGACCCGGCCCGGCCGAGGGGCCGCCGCCTGCTCCGGGCTCCCAACGACAACCGGGAAAGGAGGGAGGAAGGAAGAAAGCGGCCGCCATTAGCCACCCGCAGTCCCGCCCTGGCTCCTGCCCCGGCCTCTGCCTCGGCCCCGGCCCAGCCGGCGGCTCTGCTCTGAACCTGAAAATAAAACTCGTGTTTGGGAGGGAGGAGCGAGCGCGGCCGGGAGCACAGGCAGCGCTCGGGCTGCAGGCGAGAGAGATGCTGCGTCATGGTGCCAACATGGACGCCGGCCTTTTGTCCTTTTTCGCTCAGGAAGCGCAGGCGCACCCCGGAGCCCCGAAAAGCCGGCTTCGGAGGGCGAGACCCCCACAACCAAAAGGGAAAGAGGCCCCAGGCCCGGAAGGAGAGGCTTCCTCGGCTTTTGTGCCCCCATTCCCCAAAGCACTTCAATTTCTTCTCCCCCCAAGGCTCAGACCTAGAAAAGCGAGGAGGACGAGCGCAGGCGGCTCCGTGGATGCCCCACGTCGCTGGGGAGACCTTCCTCTCGCCTCCGGGGCAGAAGGGGCAAAAGGGTCTGAAGAGCCCTCCTCGTCCCCACCCCCCAACCCCTCCCGATCCGGCTGCCAAACATGAAGCTCCTGAAACCTTCTCCCCTCAGCTCCCAAACATTTGCAGCCCTTGGCCTGCTCGAAAAAACATTTCCTCGAAGGGGTAAAAGGCAGTTTTGTTGTTGTTGTTGTTGTTGTTTTTACTTACCCGCTCAGCCCGGTGCCATGGAGTCTGGAAGATCAAGCTGGGCGGAGGTTTTGGAGGTGTTATTGTAAAAAATATCTTTTAGGGGGATTGTTTAGTTGGGAATATTTGGAGTAGTGGTGGTGTCTTTTTTGTTGTTACCTTTTTAAAGTTACACTCTCATGGCATTTTCAGCTCCTTCCACTTCTGCAAATTTTCCAGGGTTGGGTTGGCAAAAGGCGGCTTCGCTGAGGACTGTTTACTGCTCTGGATATAGCAATGGTGTGACCGTCATTAAGAGACAAAAGGCGAAAATACACAGTCAAATCAAACAAAAGGCAAAAGACGCACCGGCCATCCCAACCACCATAGAAAATACCCCCGAGTTAACGATGGTGTTTGGCTCGAACCAGCTAGGACTTGTTTTCCAGTTTTAATCTAGTTTCCTGTGACGGCTTTAGTCTCTTTACACAAAGAGGTCTTCCTTTCCCTCACCCACCCCCCTACCAAGACGAGAAAAACAGAGATGTTTTTCTTCAAATAGATTTTCAAAGAAAGTGTACATGTTACTGGGAAGAAAGCTGACTAGCATTTATTGCTATAAACATTTTCAAAAGCTTAAAGCTAAAACCCTAGCTGTATAAAAGCAAAATCGTCTAAAAGCATTTTAACTGTTTTATGTTAGACAAGAGCGACAAAGACATACATGCAGATGAAGGTTCAGAAAATTAAGGACATCTCAGCAACATTAACAATGAAAACTGCACTGCGTAAGGACAGAATGGACTGGGTACTTACAATGTAAAAGGTTTTTAAAAAACTTAAAAGAGTAACGACTGCTTACAATTTTTTGTTGCTGCCATTTCGCTAGTCCTAAAACTATACATTTAAAACATTACCTTGTTAAAAAGAGAGCAGAAGGAGTTAATAAGATGGCCAGGTTTAAGTGTTTAATAGAGGAAACTATATATATATAAAAATTTATTGTTCAGTCAAGAGAATACAGATTAAGACAGCTCCAAGCTCCCCCCACCCACCCAAGAAAAAAAAAAGAGGAAAAAAATTAAATATGTCGTTTACTTAGGTTTTTTGGAATTCAAAATTGTTAACTGCTGACATTAATGGTGTGCTATGACCTAGTTATACAAGACAAAGATGGATTCCAAGTCATAAGGAAAAATCCAGATCTTTTTAAAAAGTCTTCTTCATTCTTCCAATTGTGAGTCCTTTAGCCTGTTGACAAATGTTAAACACAACACTGAGGCGTCCTGAACTGGATGGTGGAGTCAAAGGAAAAACATTCCCCATTTGCAACAAAGGAAAAACCCACTTGGCCATTTAATTCCATTGCAGAAAAATGGCTCCCCTCATCTGTTGGCCTCTCCTTGGTGTCTGATGAAGGATGTTTTGAGAGCAGCGTCTAATAACTCAAGCCCTATAGAAGCCGCGCGCTGATTGGCTGCCGCACCCTGCCGCCCTGCTCCAGCCAATTACCTACCCACGGCCAAATTACAAACCCCGAAAAGAGCCCCAATGTGAAATACACCACCACGAAGCCCCAGCGAGGCGACTTTCTCGCCTCGGCCGCCCGACAGGAGAGGCAGAGGGGGCTACAAACGCGTCCTCGCGAAGCCCGGGAGCCTTGGAGTTGAACTCACAAAATGGAAGCCGCGCGCTGATTGGCCGCCGCCACTCCCGGACCTTTAATAAAGAAAGGGGAAGGAAAGATAAATGCAAAAAAGGGGGACTCTCTCCTTCGTCGGTGACTGGAGGAAGGGGGGGGTGCGGGGAGAGAAGCATGTGTTCACAATTACAGGGCGCTCCTCTCCAAAAATAAAAACAGAAAGAAGCTTCTATCACCCAGGTCCAGGCAAGGGCTGCATCCTCCCAGGAATGTGAATGCTAATTTGGTTAAAATCCTGGTTTCCCTTCCCCAGCTCCGCTCCGGGGGGAGGGGGTCGCGGGGCAGAAGAGGAAGCCGGAGCCGAGATACCTCGATTGCAACTCGTCTTGGAGCCTCCTTGCCGCCCCTCACGGCTCCCAGCGTCCAAACACACAATCACACACACACCCCAAAACCCAGCCCTTTCCCCTGAGCCCCCACGCGCCCACCTCCGGTTTTGGCAGTTTGGAAACAGTTTTGGAGGCCCCAGGCGCACGCCGCGGCGGCCGCGGCTCGGAGGGTAACCCCAGCCGCGGGAGGTAGAGCTCGGGGAGACCCCCTCCCCCGCCAGCCAAGCCCCCCACCTAAGTCCCAGCAGAATAAATAAATTAAAAGGCCTTCCCCCCGGGAGGGGGGAGGCAGTGTGGGAGCGCGAGAGTGAGGGGTGGGGGGCCGCTGGGGCCCGGGGCTTTGGCGGCGCAGCTGCCGCCGCCGGGAGAGTGCCTGGGGAAGCGGCGAGGAAGGAGAGGGGAGGAGGAAGAGGAGGAGGAGGAGGAAGAGGAGGAGGGTGAGCGCTCGGGTCGGGCTCCTTAGCGGTGTATTGTGGGATGTGCGGCTACTGGGAGCCGAGCCTCCGCCGCCAGCCGCCTCCCGGGCAGCAGCAGCAGCAGCAGCAGAGGCGGCGGCAGCAGCTCCGGGCCCGGCAGCCGCGGCGGCGGCGCTCCCCCCTCCCGGCCCCCAGTCCGGCCGCCCCGGCCTCGGTTCCCGCGGGGGACACCATGTACTGGCTGGCGGCGCAGGGAGGCCGGCGCCCGGCGGGGATGTAAGCGCGGCTCGGGGAGGGAGAGGCCGCTGCCGACAGCCGGGCGGCCCGAGCCCCCAGCCCCCAGCCCCCAGCCCCGGCCCCGGCCCCCGCTCCGGCCGAGCGGTCGGGCGGGCGGGCGGCGCCAGGCCTGCCGCGAGCCCCGCGCCCGAGCCGGGCGGAGCGAGCGAGCTAGCGCCACGCCGGGCGGCCGGGCGGGTACCATGGGCCGGAGCCCGGGTCCTCCGGGTGCCCCGGGCCCCGCCAGTCTGCACCAGGGACCCCCGGGAGCCCCTCGCAGCCGCCCCGAGATGGTGGCCGAGCGGGCGGGCGCCTAATTCTCCGGAAGGGTTATTCTCTCGCTCCATTCTTATTTTGGGGGGAGCCAGCGAGACAGCTCCTTTTGGGGCGCGCTGGTAGGGTGGGAGGGGGTGGGGGCTGGACGATTTGATTCCTTCGCGTGTGTGTAGAAGCGGCCGCCGCCGCCACCGCGGCGGAGACGACAACAACTTGCTCGTTTTCAGGTTGGGTTAACGGCATGGAGAACAGTCACCCCCCCCACCACCACCACCAGCAGCCCCCGCCGCAGCCCGGCCCTTCGGGCGAGAGGAGGAACCACCATTGGAGAAGTTACAAGTTGATGATTGACCCGGCTTTGAAAAAGGGGCATCATAAACTGTACCGCTACGATGGGCAGCATTTCAGCCTGGCGGTGAGTAGCCGGCGCGCCTCCCCGCCGCCCGCACCCACCCTCCGAGCCGTGGCGAGGAGGGTGGGGGCGGAAGGGTCCGATCGGCCCGGGGACCCCCCTCCTGACCACCCGGCTAACTGTCAGCCGGGTCCGCGGTCCTGGAGTTTGACAAGTGCCTGGAGAAGGGCGGGGGGGGGGGGCTTGCCCCTGTCCCTGGGGAGTTGGACCAGGCCACCCATTCCGTCCCCTCCCCCCCCCACCGCTTCCTCCCCACAGATGTCCAGCAACCGCCCGGTGGAAATTGTCGAAGATCCCCGGGTCGTCGGGATCTGGACCAAAAACAAGGAGCTGGAGCTGTCGGTGCCCAAATTCAAAGTACGGCCCCTCCCCCCTGCCCCGCGCCCCTTCCCCCCCTCCCCAAGCCCCGAATTCGAAAATAACGCCAGTCTTGACCGAGCCCAGCCGGATTCTGAGTTCCCGCCGTCCGGGGCCTGGGAAGTTTTGGCGGGGAGGGGGAGATGGCAAAGAGAGGGGTGTCCCCTCTCGGCTACTGTAAACAGAATAACACTCGGTGAAACTGTAATCAAGGCGCTGATACAGTATCCTGTCCGCCCAGCTGGGGGCTCCGGGTCCCCACCTGGCTCCTGCCAGCCCAAGGGCTCGGCCCTGGGACCCGCCCCCCTTCCCAGCCTTGTGGCTTTAGGGGTACAACTTCCTAGCCCAAGGGGTCGCCCCTGCGCTGGCAGCAGGGAGAGGAGGATAGAGTAGGGGGTGGGGAAAGAGAAACTGTTTCTTTTTCCCCTTTCCTTTCGAACCCAGAGGACTTCCACGTTCCAAACGATTTAATCCTCCGCTTCCCGGGCCCGCCCGCGTGCATTTTTTTTTCCAAAAAAAAAATTTTTATTTTTTACCTTTCATTGTTTTCAAAGGGCGGGCGAGTGGGGAATTTTGTGTTTTCCATTCGGTTTCAGTGTTCTCAACCTCCCTTCCCCCTCGTCCCCTGCCAGATCGATGAGTTCTATGTGGGCCCGGTGCCTCCGAAGCAGGTGACATTTGCCAAGCTGAATGATAACATCCGTGAAAACTTCCTGAGGGACATGTGCAAGAAGTATGGGGAGGTGGAGGAGGTGGAGATTTTGTACAATCCCAAGACCAAGAAGCACTTGGGCATCGCCAAAGTGGTCTTTGCCACGGTCAGGGGAGCCAAGGAGGCGGTTCAGCACTTGCACAGCACTTCGGTCATGGGCAATATCATCCACGTGGAGCTGGACACCAAAGGTGAGTGGAGGCCCGCTCAGGACAGCCATCGCGGAGGAGCCACAGGACCTGTCAGTGTGACCCCCTCCTCTCCCAGAGCCCCTCTTGCAGTGTTGGGGAGCCCCTCACTCTTCCTTAGGTGCCCCCTACAGCCTTTTCTTTTGCCCCCTCCTGAGGGTAGAGTCACGTGGAGCTAAATGTGTTGTCTGTTGCTAGGAGACAAGCTGTAATTTACCAAATGTGCAAGTCCTTGGCGACTGAACCCCAAGGGACCACCCGGAGGCTTCCCCACCGCTGACACCCCCTCGGGCCCCGCGCGGAGCCCTGGTGGCCTGGGTTTAGGCAGTCCCCAGTGTTGCCGTCTGTGTTAGGAGAGAAAGCAGGGTTCGTTTATTTGTGGTGGGGGCGCTGACGGAGAGCCACTAGAACGCCTTTAAATATCCAAAGAGTACGTCCCTCCACTAAAAAGAGAGTCCTCCAGGGATCTGGAGTGCCCCTCCCCCACAGGCCGCCCCTTCCCCTTGGAAGTGGGAACCAATCTGGGCCCAGAGTGTGGTTTCATTGATAATGCTCCCGTTGGAGCTGGGCGGGCTGCTCCCGGTGCTCTAGGGTTGACACTGTCTTCCCTCCTCTCTCTTAAAGAGACAGCACCACCTCCCAAGCAGCGGAATCCCGCTCTGTGCTCACTGAGCCTCTGAGCGGCTGCTGGGAGAGCCGGGCTGGGGAAGCCATACCTCCCACCCTCAGGGTCCTGGGAGGCTTCTCCTCCGTGCTGGCTGGGGGGCTGGCAGGACTCTAGGGCATCCCCTAAAGTTTGCCTGTGACCTCTCTAGAGAAGTTCGTACCAATACAGAAGAAAGTGCCCGGTGCTCTGAGGCCCAGCCAGCCCTGTGACTGGGCAGGGACTGTTGGGTCCAGAGCCCCTGGGACGTCCCCTGGGAGACCCTGCATGGGAGGGTTTAGGTGAGTGGCTTCCAAGGGTTTCGTGAGCACGGGGTTTAGGGGCAACTCGGGCACACCAAACCCAAGACTGGAAAATGTAAACCTTTCTTTTTCGCCTTTAATAATGAGCACATATTGACTGTCTCTAAGACCTTGCTTGGGGATGCGGAGGGATACTGCTTCTGGGTGGGCACAGTTATCCTATAAACTCTTGCCAAACCTGTGCCTAATTCTGAGGTTCCTCAGGGCACAAGCCAGGTTCCTGTTCCAGTCACAGCGCCCTTCACCCCCCTTCTCTAGTTTCTCAAGTCTCTGTTGGGGAGACCCCCTTGGGTGGTTGCAGGCTGACCTCTCCCTGAGAATCAAATGTAGAGCCCCTCCCCCATCACATGCCCATTTTAAGGAGTAGTCAGCCCTCACCAGAATTTCATTTCTGCAAAAAAAAAAAGAAAAAAGAAAAAAAGAAAAGGCCCTTAGAGACTGCCACCAAGTTTGTATTTCAAGAAAGAGACCGGTAACGAGTGGCTCAAGGAATGCGGCTCCTTTGCATATGTCGGCAGCTGCCTCGGAGGGCTCTATAAATACAGACAACCTGGCCCCCTGGTCTACAGAGGCCTCTCTCTGCCGGGGGTGGGGCTGGGGCGGAGGGTTACCAGAGTGGCTCCGTGGGCCGGGCGAGGACCTTGCGGAGTTCACAGTAACACAGTACTAGAGGGCATTTTACAAACTCTGACAGTCACCTGAGAGAGTTAACAACAAAACTGTCACTCCTGTGTCACTGGGTTTCCTCTTCACTTGCTACAAGGCCCTGGATGTTAAGTGGGAAGGTGAGAGGATGGGGATTACCCCTTTCTTTGGGTGGCATGGCCCAGGTGACAGGAAGGGGCTTTGTGTTGGGGCTGGCATTTCTGTATTTGGGGGAGTCCCAGCGCCACGAGGCATTAAATTCTGACTCTCAGGATCAGAAAAATCATACAGTTTAGGAGCTTCATTGAACAGATCGGACTCCGGAGTGAGGTGATAGGACTCCTGAGTGAGGTACAAAGAGAGAGAAGTGGGAACTTGGTCAGGGTCACTTAGCTTCCCTAGGCTTGGGGTCCCAGGCGCAGGGGCCCCACAAGGATGCCCACCTGTGCGGGCTGCCCCATCCTGGAGCCTCACTGAGTCCTTCCTCCCTTGCCTTTTCCACAGGGGAAACCCGCATGCGGTTCTACGAACTGTTGGTCACGGGCCGATACACACCCCAAACCCTCCCAGTGGGCGAGCTGGATGCTGTCTCTCCAATCGTGAATGAGACCCTGCAGGTGGGTTTATGGCTGTCAGTCCTTTCCCCGCCTCCCCACCCCATCACCAGCTCCCTGGATGTGGCTGGCCGCCACCCCACTTCACCATCTCCAGTGTCAGACACCAGGAAAGGAGCCTGGCTGTGCCCACCAAGGCTTCCAGCAGGGGGTCTGAAAGCCCTGTTTGCCAAAGCTGTCCTCTGGCACGGCCCCCAGCCCTCTCTCTGCACACACTGGGATTCCCATCCCAGAGATCCAGAGTCCATGTGCTTTCCACGTTAATGCTGAAACACTGCTGTGTCCAGGATCCTAGTCTCTGGTGTCCCGTGCACCCCTCTACCCCTGCCGCCAGGAAGCCGAGTTCAAGTCCCTCCTTCCAGAGCAAGATGGATTCCTTCCCCACCCACCGCCTCCCAGGACCTCACCTGGACCACCATCTCATGGGGAGGTTCTCATCCCAGCTCCTACCCCAGCATCAACCCAGCCACCCTCTGGAATAGCTTTTCCAGAGTGAACAGTCTTTGCTTACTTGCTGGTCAGCTGTTTATCAGGCACTTTACGTGTTACGCTATTTTTTTTTCTTTTCCGGTACGCGGGCCTCTCACTGTTGTGGCCTCTCCTGTTGCGGAGCACAGGCTCCGGACGCACATGCTCAGTGGCCATGGCTCACGGGCCCAGCCGCTCCACGGCATGTGGGATCCTCCCAGACCGGGGCACGAACCCGTGTCCCCTGCATCGGCAGGCGGACTCTCAACCACTGTGCCACTAGGGAAGCCCTACGTGTTACACTATTTAAACCCTAAAACATCAAGAGGTTGGAGGGACAAGGCCCTTGGCCACCCCCTCACTTCCAAGACCATCGTCTGCTATCTCTACCTGGAAGGTCTTTGATATCTGACAGCCTGGGGCAGGAAGGAAATCCCAGTTCAAACCAAGATGTCAGGGTCTTATCTTTACTCTGCTTTAGGGATTAGGAAAAACCCTCAAGGTTCTCTGAGGATAATTGGCTACCCCAAGATTAGAGAAGGTGAGGACCATCCAGACACTCCTCTTTAATCTCCCCCCTTCCCCCTGCCGCCGCTGCTTCCGTTCACTATGCTGCAGCTCTAGAGTGACCAGTTTGGCTCCGAGCTCCCCGGTAGCTGGAGTGAGAGGGGAAAACAGTCCCATTCTATTGCACGTTTTCCCCCCAGTGATCTCAGACCTCTCTCTCTCTCTCTCTCTCTCTCTCTCTCTCTCTCTCAAGCTGTCAGATGCCCTGAAGCGCCTCAAAGATGGTGGCCTGTCTGCAGGCTGTGGCTCTGGCTCATCCTCTGTCACCCCCAATAGTGGTGGGACACCCTTCTCCCAGGACACTGCTTATTCCAGCTGCCGCTTGGACACGCCCAACTCCTACGGACAGGGCACACCGCTCACGCCGCGCCTGGGCACCCCCTTCTCGCAGGACTCCAGCTACTCCAGCCGCCAGCCCACGCCCTCCTACCTCTTCAGCCAGGACCCCACAGCGACCTTCAAGGCTCGGCGCCACGAGAGCAAGTTCACGGACGCCTACAACCGCCGCCACGAGCATCATTATGTCCACAACTCTTCTGCAGTCACCTCAGTGGCAGGGGCCACAGCCACCTTCAGGGGCTCCGTGGACCTCCCATTCGGGGCAGTCAGCAGCAGTGGGGGCGGCAGTGGCCCTCCATTCAAGGCCCAGCCACAGGATTCAGCCACGTTTGCCCACACTCCACCGCCTACCCAAGCAGCCTCCGCTCCTGGAGTCACATTCAAATCAGCTTTCTCTCCATATCAGACTCCTGTACCCCCTTTCCCCCCGCCCCCTGAGGAGCCCGCTGCCGCAACCCCCTTTGGGGCCCGTGACAGTGGGGAGTTCCGGAGAGTACCTGTGCCCCCGCCCCTGCCGCCCACTGAGCCCCTGACAAAGGAGAAGCCAGGCACGCCACCTGGACCCCCGCCCCCTGATGCCAACAGCATGGAGCTGGGCGGCCGGCCGACCTTCGGCTGGAGCCCTGAGCCCTGTGACAGTCCTGGTACGCCCACGCTGGAGTCATCGCCTGCAGGGCCCGAGAAGCCCCACGACAGCCTGGACTCACGGATCGAGATGCTGCTGAAGGAGCAGCGCACCAAGCTGCCCTTCCTTCGGGAGCAGGACTCAGACACCGAGCTGCAGATGGAGGGCAGCCCTATCTCCTCCTCCTCCTCCCAGCTCTCCCCACTGGCCCCCTTTGGCGCTAACTCTCAGCCTGGCTTTCGAGGCCCCACACCACCCTCCTCACGCCCATCCAGCACCGGCCTGGAGGACATCAGTCCCACACCACTGCCTGACTCGGATGAGGATGATGAGCTTGACCTGGGCCTGGGGCCCCGGCCCCCACCCGAGCCAGGACCCCCAGACCCTACCGGTCTTCTGGGTCAGACAACTGAGGTGGCCTTGGACCTGGCTGGAGACAGGACCCCCACCTCAGAGAAGATGGATGAGGTACCATGGTGTCTGTCCATCTCTGTCTGGGATTGGTTTTGTCTGTCTTGTGGCTCCCTCTTTCCTCCTTGAAACATTCTCCCCGTCGGATAACTAGCTAAGACACAGAAGCAGCAGGACTAGGGCAGCCAAAATAACAGATCACAAATAAAAAGAGAATGAAAAGAGGATACGAAAAGCACCAGGGGCTGTGACTGAGCAGCTGGTTTGCTCTGAGCTCCCTAGCAGCTTTGGTGAAAAGGGAAACATGACCTAGCTCTGTTGCTCTCCTTGCTAGGTATGGGAAGTCAAGACCTTTTTCTGGGGATAAATTCTGACTTGAGCTTCTTTGGTTGGAGTTTGCTGAGATCCCAGAGAGGTGGACTGTGGTGATGGTTTGGGGCCTCCTTCTCTGTTGGGAGGCTGGGACCTGATCAGGACTGGTCCTGACACTCAGGCAGATTTGGGAAGAGGGATCAGCCAGAATGTTCTGCTGAGCTAGGTCAGGTGGCAGCTCTGGAGCACTGTCTCCTAGAACCTGGTGCCCTCTGAAGAGATGGGAAACTGTGGTGGGCAGGGAGGACATTGAAATGTTCCTCCTCCCTCTCCCCCTGCGTCCAGGACTGAAGGAGTTAAGGGCTAGCCCAGGGGGAGGGCCACAGCCAGAACCGGGCTGAGTTGACCACCCCCCACCCTCTGCCCACCCAGAGATCCTCCTCTGGGGTCTCACTGCAGCCTGAGGGTTGGGGTGGGCGCTGCTGCATGCCACATTCCCTTGGGGGAGGATTCCGTCATCTTCCTTGGCTCTGCTCCTCCCCCCTCCTGGTCCAGGCACCTGCCCTGGCCCTCCTGGCCTGGCAGGCATGAACAGCAGGAGCTCAGACACAGCTCTGCGCCCCCCCGTGGGCGGTAGGGAGGAGGGTTCCTCCTCCCCGAGTCCTTTGATTAGGCCGATGTGGCCGCCTCAGGGAGGAACAGAGAGGAACTTGGCTTGCCTGGGAGGGGATTGCAGGTGGCTGGGGCTCCTGGGGGCCTCCAGGCTGTTCTGGGGAAGTGGTTTCTGGCGCTAAGGGGTTCAGGCAGGGAGAGCTGACAGGTGTGCAGAGGTGGGGGGGCTGCTGGCCCTGCTGCCAGCCTCCCTTCTTCCCTCCCTCTCCTGCCGGAGGTTAGGGGATGTTTATTTAACCATGCTCACTGGCTGATCCAGGGCCGGGAAGCCCAGAGGAGCCAGAGGGAATGGGCTTTCCCACGGTGTCACTGTAGGAAAGGGGAGACTGAGGCCCAGAGAGCTGGGGTCGGGGATGCCCCGGGACATCAGCCCAGGGAAGCCCGGGAGTACTGATAACCTCCAAGATGGCCCTCGGGAGCCCCCTGCTGACAGTCGGGAGAGCAGCTCCCGGGTTCCTCCGGCCTGAACCCGAGGGAATCCCAGCCTAGGCTGACCACAGGGGAGAACAGCACAGGGGGACACGCCCTTTCTTCACTGAGGCTGTTAAAAGTTCCGGCTCCGGTCCTTAAGTCTTGAGCCCCACCCCTGTCACTTACTGGTCATGTGGCCTTAGGGAAGTTACTTTCCCTGCCTGAGTCTCAGTTTCGTCATCTGTGAAATGGGATAGTGAGAGTAGCTGCCTCACAGTAATCTCGGCTTAAGTGAGGTGCCACCTGGGAAGCTCCAGGCACGGCTGGAGCTGATGCCGGCCATTCAGCCGCCAGTTCCCGCCGGTTCTCTGCCCCTCGGACGCGGGAGGGGCGGAGGGAGGGGCAGGGCCGCGGGCTGGGCTGGATCAGGGTCTCCCTGTGATTGGCTGGCAGCCGTGGCGGCGTTAACCCTATGCGTGCTGCGCCTGCCTTGCTGGGCGCTGTCCAGGACTGATCTGGCGCTGTCCCTGAGTATCAGGCTGAGCCTGCCAGTGCCTCCCTCAGCATGTGTGTGGGACCCTGAGAGGCAGAGTGTGTGTGTCTGTAGAGGGGACAGAGCAAAAGCGAGGGCTTTCTTCTGCCTTAGGTTTGCTTTTCCTCTTCTCTCTCCCCGCCCCCCATTTCCCTTTGAAGCCTCCCTCACCTGTACGTCTGACCTCTGACCTTACAGCCTGCACAGACCCTGCCCCCTCAGCCTTCAAATGCACTCCCTGGCAACCTACAAAGGCTCTGTCTTCCCAGCCACGTTCCTCCAGGCCAGGGCCTGAGCCCCCTTCTCGCCTCGGGTCCTGACACAAGAGCCTGGGGGTAGCCCATCTCTCCTCGCCCTACCCCTGCTTTGCCTTCTTGCTCCACCTCTACCTTGTGGACCCCGTGCCCCCCTCCAGTTCCAGGCCTCTGCATCCACCTCCCCAAAGCCCCATGTCTGAATGAAAAGAAGTCCTTTCCCGTTTCACAGCCAGGTCATGCTCGACTCCTCCCATTCACGTGGTGCCACGGTCCTGGATTCCCACAACAGCCCCCTGACGCCTCGCTCAGCAGGCACCCTGGGCTCGCATCCCAGCCCTCTTTCTGACTGGCTGGGCGTCTTGGGCCAGTGACATATGGATAGCTCTCTGAGTGTGTTTCCTCACCTGTCAGAAGGGATTGGACTAGAGCCCTACGTTGTGAGGTTAGGGTACAGATGAGAAATACGAGATATTATGTGCTGACAACACTCAGCCCCACCGCGGCCCGTACTAAGACTATATGAAAAGAGTAACTAAGGAAAAATGTAAAGACATACCTCCTATTCGTGCATCCTTACTACTTGCTAAACGCCCCCGCTGCTCGTGTCACCTTCTCTGCCAGGCCCTCTCTGCCACAGTGAAGACTACAGGCCAACTGGGAACAAAGGCTAGTGAGCCACTTCCTGGTTCAAATCCGGGCTCCATCTCTTAGTGGTTGTGTGGCCTGGGCAAGTTCTTAAGCTCTCAAGTGTTCCAACTTCCTCGTCACTAAAACTGGTGATAACAGACCTACTTTACAGGGTTGTTCTGAGGATTAACTGAGTTAAGGTACGTAAAGTGCTTAGAAAGGTGCCTGGCCTGTAGAAAAGGCTAGAGAAGTTTTAACTATTAGTATTATCTTCTCTGAATGCAAATTGAAACAGTCTCTCAAATTGAAACAGAATCTTTTTCCCTCTTCACACCTCACTCCCCTTCCCGGCTTTCTTTTTCTCCATGAAGGACTATATATTTCACATTCCTCCTAGTTATCCTTTGCCTTGTCCCTCCAGAAGTTCAGCTCCAAGACAGCAATAATTTCGTCTGTCTTGTTCACCACTGTGTTCCTAGCACCTGGAACAGTGCCTGCTACACAGCAGGTGCTGAGCAAATGTTTGTTGAATGAATGAATGAGTGAATCTGCATGATAACCCCGTGAGGCAGGTGCTGTGGTGCTCATCATGCAGATGGGGAGACTGAGGCTTAGAGAGATTAAACGACTTGCTTGAGGCCACGTGGCTAGCAAGGGGGGGGACCAGGATCAGAGCTGCGGAAGCCACGTTGCTCTCTCTGTCTTGTAGAAGGCTCCTTCTCTGACCTGCGGGTGTTCAGCAGGGGGATCTGGGAGCCTGCTGGGCCACCCGGGCTCACCCTCACCTCTCTCTCCTTGCTCTCCCTGCAGGGGCAGCAGTCCTCGGGGGAGGACATGGAGATCTCAGATGATGAGATGCCCTCGGCCCCCATCACCAGCGCTGACTGCCCCAAGCCTATGGTGGTGACCCCCGGGACGGGGGCTGTGGCAGCTCCCTCTGTGCTGGCCCCGACCTTGCCGTTGCCGCCGCCCCCTGGCTTCCCACCACTGCCCCCGCCCCCGCCGCCCCCCCCCGCCCCAGCCTGGCTTCCCCATGCCCCCTCCTCTGCCCCCGCCACCGCCCCCACCGCCCCCAGCCCACCCCGCTGTGACAGTGCCCCCGCCACCGCTGCCAGCACCACCGCCCGGTGTCCCACCCCCGCCCATTCTGCCGCCGCTGCCGCCCTTCCCACCGGGGCTGTTTCCCGTGATGCAGGTGGACATGAGCCATGTGCTGGGCGGCCAGTGGGGAGGCATGCCCATGTCCTTCCAGATGCAAACGCAAATGCTGAGCCGTCTGATGACGGGCCAGGGCGCTTGCCCCTACCCGCCCTTCATGGCCGCCGCAGCCGCAGCCGCCTCCGCCGGGCTGCAGTTCGTCAACCTGCCGCCCTACCGGGGCCCCTTCTCCCTTAGCAACACTGGCCCCGGCCGCGGGCAGCCCTGGCCACCCCTGCCCAAGTTTGACCCGTCAGTGCCGCCACCAGGCTACGTGCCACGCCAGGAGGACCCGCACAAGGCCACGGTGGACGGTGTCCTGCTGGTGGTGCTCAAAGAGCTCAAGGCCATCATGAAGCGGGACCTGAACCGCAAGATGGTGGAGGTGGTGGCCTTCCGGGCCTTCGACGAGTGGTGGGACAAGAAGGAGCGGATGGCCAAGGTGGGTGGGCGGCGCGGCCCTGCAGGGGGGCGGGCGGCAGAGACCCGGCCAGGCAGCCTCTCTCCTCCCCAGGCACGTACTGGAAACACCACCACCCAGACCCCCAAAGCAGGATAGTGTGAGTGTTATTTTGTGAAACCGGTGTGTCGATGACACAGGTGTGTACTTACAATGCGTTCCTTTTGGGTTCCAACCTCCAAAGCGCGAGGGCCCCTGCTCCGGTGCGGGCAGCCGTAGTAGCCGCTTTGCAGGTGAGGAAGCCGAGGGTCAGGGAGGCAGAGTGGGGCCCTGGGGGCGTCCTGAGTAGTCGGCACAAAATGAGGTAGGTTCCAGGAAAGGAAGTGCCCAGTTACCACGTGGCTGTCACTGTTGAGAGGACGGCAGGCTGCTCAGGGGACAGGGCTGGTGGCAGCGCCGTAACCATGGTGACCTCCCCCTCCTCTCTTGCACCCCAGGCCTCGCTGACCCCGGTGAAGTCCGGTGAGCACAAGGACGAGGACAGGCCGAAGCCCAAGGACCGCATCGCCTCCTGCCTGCTGGAGTCGTGGGGCAAGGGCGAGGGCCTGGGCTACGAGGGCCTGGGCCTGAGCATTGGGCTGCGCGGGGCCATCCGTCTGCCCTCCTTCAAGGTCAAGAGGAAAGAGCCGCCGGACACCACCTCGTCTGGCGACCAGAAGCGGTTGCGACCCTCAGCCTCCGTGGATGAGGAGGATGAAGGTTTGCGCCCCTCCGCTCACCGGGTGCTGGGGTCTCCTCCTCTCCCGTGCACCTGGCCCAGCTCTGACAGCCCTCCTTCCCCACAGAGTCTGAGCGGGAGCGGGACCGCGACATGGCGGATGCCCCCTGTGAGCTCGCCAAGCGGGACCCCAAGGGCGTGGGTGTGCGGCGGCGGCCAGCCCGGCCCCTGGAGCTGGACAGTGGCGGGGAGGAGGACGAGAAGGAGTCGCTGTCGGTGTCCTCATCGTCGTCGGCGTCCTCGTCCTCGGAGTCCTCGACAACCTCGCCCTCATCCTCAGCCTCCGACAAGGAGGAGCGAGAAAGCGCGGAGGAGGAGGGGGAGGGGGAGGAGGAGGAGGGGGAGGAGGAGGAAGGCCCCAGGAGCCAGATCTCCTCCTCCTCGACCTCATCCCTGTCCGATAAGGTACCGTTCGGGCTGGGGAGGCCTGGGGTGCTGGGCCAGGGGAGGGGCCCTTCGGCTCACCTTTCCTCCGTCCCCCCCCCCCAGGATGACTATGATGAAGACAGTGACGACAGGGACGAGTCTGAGAATGACGACGAGGACGCAGCCCTGTCGGAGATGAGTGAGAAGGAAGAAGGGGACTCAGATGGAGGTGAGCGGGGCTCCCGGCCCAGCCCGGGGTCCCTCTGCAGAGCGCAGAGCCCGTGCAATAGTCAGCTATACTCTGGGGGCAGATCTCTTGACTTTGAAGTGTGAACTCAGTAAAGCACAAACAGGGCATGCCCTATAATTCCTTTCTCGTGAAGTGTCCAGAAGGGGTCAATCCACAGAGACAGAAAGCAGACTAGTGGTCTCTGGGGTTAGGGGACGGTGGATAGACGGGTGATCGCTAAAGGGAACGGGCTTCTTCTAGACAAGGGCTAGTTATCCACATTGTGAATATATTGAATACCACTGTATCGTTTACTTTAAGACGGTTAGTTTTATGTGATGTGGATTTCACCTCAGTTTAAAAAAACGTGATGACTAGTTAGTACCGACGCACGCACGCGCACACACACACACACACACCTGAGGGCTATGTTCAGCCCAGTGCCGCCAGTTGTGAGACGTTTGGTGAAGTACCTGGCTGGAGCACAGCAGATAATGACAGCGCCCCTGCCTGTGTCCCCCGCCCAGAGGAGACAGTGAGCATCGCCACCTCCAAGGCTGGAGCTGAGTCCTCCAGTGAGAGCTCTGAGTCTTCTGACTTCGAATCAAGCTCCGGGTCCTCCTCGTCACCTTCCGAAGATGAAGAAGAACTGGCAGCAGGGGAGGAAGATGAGGCGGAAGGGGAGGAGGCAGCTGCAGAAGAAAGCGTGGCTCCCGCTGCCCCTGACGAGGACTTTGAGGACGTGGCCACAGGAGCATCCGCGACGGAGTCACTGGTCCCAGAAGAGGAGGTGGACATCGAGGCTGAGGACGAAGCCTCCGAGGCACGGACCCCAATACTGGAAGAGCCTCCCTTGCCTGTGGGTGTCGAGGAGCTGGCTGGCTGCAAGGAGCCCCCCGACGAGCCAGGCCTGAACCAGGAAGGGGCCAGGTTGCTGTCTCCAGAGCCCCCTGCTGGAGAGATGGAGGCCCGGCCCCTGCCATCCCCGGAGCCCACCCCAGGTAACACTTGCAGACCCTGGGAGGGCGGTGGGCATGGAAGCAGGATGTCCTCACCATGAGAATGAGCCCAGCCTCCTTTATACTAATCACTTCACCTTAACTAGTCAGTTTCCTCATCTGTAAAATGGGATCCGTGGATTGTGCTTCCCCCGTGAGGTCATATGGGAGGACAGAGTGAGATGGCTTATGATGTGCCAGCATGGAGCCTGGCACCTGTTAGATCCCAGAGGGGTCTGCTGCTGTCACCATTCCTCTGTCAGTATTTCCCTGGGGTTTAGTCCTTGGACCTTTAATTAGTCCCATGAGATGCTCCCAGAAGAGGGGCTGTGGGTGCAGGTGTGTATGGTCATTTCAGTGACAGAAAGCAGCAGAGAAGGCCTCGGGGTGCTGGGCCAGTTGAGAAGAGGCCATGGACGCTGCCCCCTCCACCATCTTGGTGGAGCTGCACAAAGCATGTTAAAGGCTCTAACAACGCTGTCCAATGGAACTTTCTGCAGTGATAGAAACGTGCTGTCCAATAGAACTTTCTGCGGTGATAGAAACATTCTCTCTCTGTCCTGTCCAATACTGTAGCCACTAGACACAGTGTTGCTAAGAGCAGTTGAAAGGTGGAGAGTGCCACTGTGGAACAGAATTTGTGACGTCTCATTTTCATTAGTATAAACTTACATAGCCACATGTGGTTAGTTTGTACCGGTAATAGTCCTTGAGGAAAGAAACCCGTTGTATTTTGTTTAATTCTGTGTTATTTGGCTATAGAACCACAGGTCTTTGAATATTGTTAAACGTATTAACGGAGCCTCTATTGTCGTCCCCAGTACTGTTTTACGAACTGATAATACAACAGTGGACCAAACAGACAAAAATACCTGGGGCTTACACTCTGGGGCAGGGTGATGGATGACAGCAGATAAGTTAGAAAATGTATTCTGTGACAGTAGAGATAAATGCTAAGAGAAAACCTTAAAGGCTCTGAAAAGTCCTGCAGCAAAGAGACTTGTTGGATTTTATTTGATAGAGGTCATTTTCTTGGTCCATGGGATGTTCCCGGTTCACAGGAACACCGTTCTAAAGACAGTGTCGAGGGCTACAACCATGTCTCCTGCATCTTTGATTTACTCCCACCAACATTTATCAGACACCTACTGTGTGCCTGACACTGGGCCGGGTGCTGAGCGGTCCTTGAGCGGCTTAGCTGGAGGAGGACAGTCCGTATACTCACAGAACCCCTAGGGACCCAGAGGGTATGAGTGCATACCCAGAGACGTGTCAAGTGCATAGTAGGGCAGCATAAGTAGGGTGCTGAGGGACATCTGAATCAAATAATAAAGGTCTGGTTTTTGCCCACCTCTCTGCAGAGAACAACCTGGAAGCGGAGCCTGCGCCCCCCGCGCTGCTGTCCTTACCCCTGCAGCCACCGTTGCCGCCCGCTCGACCACCCCGGCCACCCAGCCCACCACCAGAGCCCGAGACCCCAGACCTCCCGCTCCCAACAGTCCCTCTGGAGCCTCCCCATGAGGACCAGCCCCCACGTACTCCAGGCCTCTGTGGCAGCTTGGCCAAGTCTCAGAGCGCAGAGGCCGTGCCGGCCACACCGAGTGGGGAGCCCCTGCCGTCGGGGGGCAGCAGTGGCCTGCCCCTGAGCTCCCCGCAGCTGCCAGGCAGCCCCTTCTCCTACCCATCCCCATCCCCCGGCTTGAGCAGCGGGGGCCTCCCGAGGACACCTGGCCGGGACTTCAGCTTCACACCCACCTTCCCTGAGCCTGGTGGGCCCCTGCTCCTGCCTGTCTGTCCCCTCCCAGCTGGCCGGCGTGATGACCGGTCTGGCCCCCTGGCCTCCCCTGTGCTCTTGGAGACAGGCCTGCCGCTCCCTCTGCCCTTGCCCTTGCCCCTGCCCTTGGCATTGCCCGTACCCGTCCTGCGGGCCCAGACTCGGGCCCCCACCCAGCTGCCACCCCTGCTGCCTGCTCCGCTGGCCCCCTGCCCACCCCCCATCAAGAGGAAGCCGGGCCGGCCCCGGCGATCCCCGCCGGCTGGGCTATCCTTGGATGGGCCCTTGGTCCGGCCGCCAGGAGGGCCCCCCCTGGGCAGGGACCTCCTGCTTCTGCCAGGCCAGCCACAGACCCCTGTCTTCCCCAGCACCCACGACCCCCGGACCGTGACCCTGGACTTCCGGAACGCGGGGATCCCGGCTCCCCCCCCACCCTTGCCCCCCCAGCCTCCTCCGCCCCCACCTCCGCCACCTGTTGAGCCCACCAAGCTGCCCTTTAAGGAGCTAGAGAACCAGTGGCCCTCCGAGGCCATCCCTCCGGGTCCCCGTGGGCGCGACGAGGTCACCGAGGAGTTCATGGACCTGGCCAAGGTGCGGGGGCCCTGGCGCCGGCCACCGAAGAAGCGCCACGAGGACCTAGTGGCCTCAGCCTCCCCCGAGCTCTCACCGCCGCAGCCCCTCTTTCGGCCCCGCTCGGAATTTGAGGAGATGACCATCCTGTATGACATTTGGAATGGCGGCATCGACGAGGAGGACATCCGCTTCCTGTGTGTCACCTACGAGCGTCTGCTGCAGCAGGACAACGGCATGGACTGGCTCAATGACACGCTCTGGGTCTACCATCCCTATATCCTGCCAGGCAGGGTGCGGGGGCTGCACCTCCCAGGATAGCGCACATCACTGTCACTTACGGAGCAGTGTCTATGCCGGCACCATGCCAGGCTCTGTACAGAGTCATCACTGGCACTTTTAAACACTGCCCTCTGTGCCAGAATTGGCAGGTCTGGGGGCTAAATGTAACAATGTGATTGTACAACATGACAGAAGCAGGGGCTGACAGAAGGTTCACTCTCCCTGGCTCCCTCCCATCGCCTAATTTAATCTTCCCAACAGCCTAGTGAGGTAGGGGCTGCTATTATTCCCATTTTACATCTGAAGAAGCCGAGGCTCAGAGAGGTTAAGTTACCTGCCCGAAGTCACACAGCTATGAAGTAGCAGAGTAGAGATTTGAACCCAGGCAAATCTGGCTCCAGAATCTGCGTTCTCAGCCACGATGCCACGCCACAGTCGGTTGTTACCACAACCCTATGAAGTTGGCGCTGCTTTTATCCCTGTTGTACCAGATGAGCTCATTGAGTTTATTTACTCTGTGTCAGGAACTCTGCTAAGTGTCTGTAGTCATTCCACGGGGCATCGTCATCCCCGATTTGCATATGGGGAAACTGAGGCAGAAGGTGGTTTTTTTTTTTTTTTTTTAAAAAAACAAAACAAAACACCCAAGGCCATGCAGTTGGGTACCTGTCAGAGTTCTGACCATGGTGGAGATGACCAGTGGGCAGGTGCAGGGAAGTGGTGTAGGTGTGGGCCGTGGAGCTGGGCGTCCTCGGCCCCCTGCAGATGGGTCTGAGGGTGGAGAGGCCAGGCCCGGGAGGGCGTGTCTCCAGGCAGGACTGGGAGGGCCTCTCCGAGAATGTCCATGTGGCCCTTGACCCACACCCACCCACCAGCCTCTCTTCAGCTAAGAAGAAGAAACGGGACGACGGCATCCGGGAGCACGTGACAGGCTGTGCCCGCAGCGAGGGCTTCTACACCATCGACAAGAAGGACAAGCTCAGATACCTCAACAGCAGCCGCGCCAGCACCGACGAGCCCCCCACGGACACCCAGGTACGGCCATCGGGGCCTAGACACCCCAGAGCCTCCCGGGCTGCGCAGAGGGTGGGGCCCTCCTGGAGGGGGTGTCAGGCACCGGGAGCGGTTGTGGAGCCAGAGGGGCTGGTGCATGGAGCACGGAGCGTGCCACTCCCCTGGGTGCTCAAGTGTGAGAGGTGAGGTGAGGGGCAGGTAGGGGAGAGCCTCCGAAGGGTTTTAATCAGGGATACGAACAGAGTTGAGTTGCATTTCCAGAAGTTTCCTTCATTCTTCTTGAAATTGAGGAAATAAATTGGGTAGGTTGGACATGGGGGGCCGTGTGGGAAAAAGAAGATGCATTTGAAAGACTCTCAGGAATATTCGAACATGAAGGTCAGATGGATGGGACTGGGGGCCTGACTGGTTACAGGAGGCAGAATGGGGTGGGACGCTGCTGGGTCCAGCCTTGGGGACTGCGTAGCTGGATGCCAAGCACTGAGGTGAGAAGGAAGGTGGGACCCCCACTTTGGGATGGTTTGAGTTTTGGGGTTTGTGGAACATCCAGGTCGTGAGGTCTGGCGGACAGTTAGATGTATGGGTACAGTAGAGAGCTTGGGAGAGGGACGTCTGGTCTGGGGACCTAAATTTGGGCATCATGAGGATGGAAATGTTAGCCAAAGGCCACAGCAGGGGTGAGCCGACCCGGGAGAACATCTGGAGGGGAGTGAAGCTCCAGGTGTCAATGGTGCGGACAGAGGAAGAGGGGGAGGCCAAGAGAGGGAAGGGATGCGAGGCTGCTGGGAAGAACCGTGGTTTTGAATGAAGCCTCGGGGTGTTAGGTAGACAGACACCCACCATCTCTGTCCAAAAAGCGGAGATGCTTTCAAATCTAGCTGAGAAGGGAAACGATGGCAAGAGTGAAGAGAACGCTGTGTCGTCTTGTTTAAGATTAGAGGAACTTGATCACGTTCAGATTCTGACGGGAAGGACCCCGTAGAGGAGAGGTGGCTATTAGGACGCTCAGAGCAAGGAAGCTGGGAAGCTAGGGCCACAGAGCTTACAGTGGGGTTGCCAAGGATGAGACGGGGATGCAGGTTCCCTGTGGCCAGCTCCCCCAGGCGGCCGCACCCCTCTCTGATCTGTCACCCGCCGTCCCCATCCTTGTACCCATCCTCACAGGGCATGAGCATCCCAGCGCAGCCTCACGCCTCCACACGGGCCGGCTCGGAGCGGCGTTCCGAGCAGCGCCGCCTGTTGTCCTCCTTCACTGGCAGCTGTGACAGTGACCTGCTCAAGTTCAACCAGCTCAAGGTGAGGCTGGGCCCCACCTGGGGCGGCCGGGGTGGCCACAGAATCCAGGACCAGGGCTCTCACCCTCATCCCCTTCCCTCCCCCAGTTCCGGAAGAAAAAGCTCAAATTCTGCAAGAGTCACATTCACGACTGGGGCCTGTTCGCCATGGAGCCCATTGCGGCCGACGAGATGGTCATCGAGTACGTGGGCCAGAACATCCGCCAGGTAAGCACTGCCGGCCAGGACAGGTGTCGGGGTGGGGCTGTGGCCAGCCCCGCCCAGACTGAGGCCTCTTCCTGGCCAGGTGATTGCGGACATGCGGGAGAAACGTTACGAGGACGAGGGCATCGGTAGCAGCTACATGTTCCGGGTGGACCACGACACCATCATCGACGCCACCAAGTGCGGCAACTTCGCGCGTTTCATCAACCACAGCTGCAACGTGAGTGCCCGGCTCGGGGCCGCCGCCCCTGCTGCTGTGCCAGGAGGACCCTCAACCGGAGGGCACGGGAACCGGCGCGGCCTCCTGCCCGAGCTCGGGGCCCACGAGGATAGTGGGGAGGGAGGTGGAGGTGTGAGGCCTTATCCGAGGAGCCGTTCTCCTCTGAGCTTCAGTTTTCTCATCTGCAAAATGCGCATAATGAGACCAGAGGTGCTCGTGACGTGGTCCACACAGCTGGTATTAACAGAGTCCCTTCCCCGTGCTGGGCGTTTTCGATGCCTCTGGGGCAGTGCTGGCCAGTAGAACTTTCGACAGTGACGGAAGTGCTCTGCATCCTTGCTGTCCACTGATATACACGTGTGGTGTTGAGCGCTTGAAACGTGGCTAGTGTGGCTAAAAAACTGAGTGTTTTTTTTTGCGGTACGTGGGCCTCTCACTGCTGTGGCCTCTCCCGTTGCGGAGCACAGGCTCCGGACGCGCAGGCCCAGCGGCCATGGCTCACGGGCCCAGCCGCTCCCCGGCATGTGGGATCCTCCCGGAGTGGGGCACGAACCCGTGTCCCCTGCATCGGCAGGCGGACTCTCAACCACTGCGCCACCAGGGAAGCCCCCAAAACTGAGTGTTTAATTTAAATTAACTTAAAGAGTCACACTCAGCTACTGACGGCTGACATGGCACAGGTCTGGGTGTGGAGGTGGGCGTTGATAACAAGGGTGGTCTTCTCGTGAATATAAGCACAGGGAGCTTCAAATGGAGGACAGGCACCCCTGGCTGTAGGTTCAGGTCTTGGCATCGCTACTTAGTGACCGACTGTAGGCAGGTTACTTCATGTCTCGGTGCTTCAGTTTCCTAATCTGTAAAACTGGGATGATAACAATCCCTCCTCGTAGGGTGTTGGGAGGACCAAGCGGGTTACCGAGGGCAGGCCTTCTGTGCGGATACAGCGGGCGCTCAGTACGTGCCAGCTCGCACGACTGTGACTTGATCATACTCTGGGGCCTGTAGGGACTTCGCTGTGCGTCTCCTGTGAGAGCTGAGGGGTAAGAGGGAATTACCCGGGTGCGGTAATGAGTGAGTGAGGTGAGGCCTGGGGCAGGGAGGGAGAACACCTGTTTGAGGGGCAGTGGGATGAGGTAGGGGGCAGAGGGCAGGGTGAGAGGATGAGGTTGGCGGGGTTGGTGGTGGCTGGGTCACTCAGCCTTGTAAGCAGAGCTGAGAACTTTCTCTAAAAGCCGAGGCCGGCTATTGCCCTGGGGTGACGGGATTTGCTGTCCCTTTGGAAACATTTCCCTGGCAGCTGGGTCAGGAGTTATTCCGAGTTCAGAGAGGGAGCGGGAGCCACTGCAGTCCAGGCAAGTGATGACAGAATCAAGAGGCCCTTTGAGGCAGAAGCCGCTGGGCATGGTGGGCTGGATCCAGCACTGCTAGAGGGGAGGCGGGGGGCAGATGCTTGGGGGGCTGGGTGCGTGGGATGGCCGCTCCCTAGGTTTGAGTTTACTGACTCAAAGTTGTCTCCTTGAGCTGCCACAAGGTGGATATGGAGCAACTAGTTGGATCTGGGGGCCTGGAGTGCAGGCAGGCAAACCTTTTCTGTAAAGGACCAGGTAGTAAGTATTTTTGGCCGTGTGGCCCAGACCATCTCATAGCAACTACTTAACTGCCATTGTAACAAAGGTAGCCATAGGCAATATGTAATGAATGAGCGTGTGCCAATAAAACTTTATTTTCAAGAACAGGCAGCTGGGGCCCGGAGTTTGCTGACCCCTTCTCTAGAGCTCAGAAGTATGGCCTGGGCTAGAAACATAAATTTGGGGATCACCTGCGGTATAAAAGTAAATTGGATATTTCCCTGCGAAATTTGTTATTATTACAATCATGATTCTTATTTAATATCAGAGACAGGGGGCCCTGGTCCACCAGATGGGGGAGCCGAGGCCTAGGGCAGGTGGCCAGTGGGCAGTGGGGTCATGGGGCCAGTACATCAGGCCTTGAGCACGGGGCTCGGTTGGGTTTGGGGGACTGCGGTCAGGGAGGGCCTGGGTGGGGTCCCAGGTGGTCGGCTCACCCTCCCCCCTACATCCCACCCACAGCCCAACTGCTATGCCAAGGTCATCACCGTGGAGTCGCAGAAGAAGATCGTCATCTACTCGAAGCAGCACATCAATGTCAACGAGGAGATCACCTACGACTACAAGTTCCCCATTGAGGACGTCAAGATCCCCTGCCTCTGCGGCTCCGAGAACTGCCGGGGGACCCTCAACTAGGCCCGGTGCCTGGGGATGTCAGCCGCCCCCGGCGCCCGAGCGTGGACCCCTGGCCCCGGGGCCAGACCCCACCTCCCACCCCCATTTCAGGTGCTGTCCCTCTACCCAGCAGCCGTGCCAGGGCCTGGCGCCCCCAACACTACCCCCAGGACCCACCGCAGCTCCGGCCCCTCAGTGGGAAAGGGCTTCTCTGTCTCTCAGCTCATGTCTCTTTCGTTTTTTTAAAGAAATGCTCCTTTCGGGACTTTGGTTTCCGGTGTAAATGTCTCCCCCCACCCCCTACCTCCCCGGCGTCTCCCCTTTCTCCACCTCTTTCTCTCTGTCTTCTCTGTCCAGCCTTCCCTTCCCGGTCAGCCTCTTCCCATGAATGCTGCTACGTTGTTTTCGTCTTCTCATTCTTTTCTTCCTCTTCATGAGAAAAGACGCTTTAACCATTGAAATGTGAAGGCAGAATCAGAGAGCGGGGACCCCAGGCAGGGGCTGCGTGGTTTGATGGTGTGTCGGTCCACGTTCTGGAACCCTCCGGGCCCGGGCGCCGGGCCAGGTGCTGCAGAGGAGGGGGGTCGGGCCAGGCGGCTTTGACCTCAGAACACTACGGAAGGCCCGCTCTCTGCCGGCGGACTCAGTGAGAAGACCCCCCCCCCCTTCCGACCCCCCTCCAGTCTGTTCCTTCCCCAGCAGCCTGGGGGTGCCTTCCCCCCTCCCCCAGCAGACCCTGGTGGAGCCACGCTGGTCCCAGGCAGGAATTTCCCCTGGGGCTCTCCCTGCCACCCCACACCCCTCCACCCCCCAAATCTTGGGTTCAGTGTTTACTTTCTCATTCGAATGCCAGCGGGGGGGGGGGGGGGGGGGGGGGGGGGCGGGGGGGGGGGCTGGAAGGGTTGTGTTTACTTACCCTCTCCTGCCCTCACCTTCACCCCCAGGGGAGAGAAGCACCTCCCACCAGGGCAGGCGGGTCCCGAGTCCCGCCACTACGGGTGTCTGACCGAATGCCTGACCGAATGCGCGTGTGGCGTATTTTTGTTTGCTTATAAGCTTCACCCGCTCGCCCCCAGCCTGTAGCCTGACTCACCCTGCCAGCAAGCCCCTCGCCCCAAGAAGTCAAGAGCATATTTATTTTCAGAGTGAGAAGATTTATTTCTCCCAGAGAAAGGAAAATCTTGGAAAAGATTGTAAAACTCAGATCTACGTCTGACAGGTTTTTGGTTTTTTTTTAACCCTTGGCATCATCTTTAGAGTTCCTTTCCACGGATTTTTTTTTTCTTGTGCGTGTATAAAATCAAAACAAAGGGGAAAAAAATAGGTTTTTGAAGTTCAGAACAGATTTCTGTACATAGGCTGCCATAAAGGACTTTTTTTCGGGAACATTGTTTCTTGTAGAAACATGTGGGAAGACTTTTTTGCTTATTTCTTTGTACTTCCAAAAAAAACCACACACACACACACACACACACAAGCAAGTCCCCCGCACCCCAGAAAGCAAAGAAGGCATGTAAATAATTTATGGAAAGTGACTGTTGTGACCAGGAGTCATCCTCACCAAGACGGGAGAGCTCCCGGCGGGGCTGCCCCGACCCTGCAGATGCAGGCCCGGAGCCTCTGGTATCTCAGCTTGTGTCAAGCTTGTTATCATGTAAATTCTGTACAAAGAATTGTTATTTTTCTCTTTTTTTTTTGTCGTTGGTGGTTTTGTCGTGTTTTTCTTTTTTTTTTTTTTTTTTCAGTTTCTTTACCCCATGCCCTCTCTGTTTGAGACTATGCCCACTGGTTTCAATCTTCATGAAATCGGTGGCATTAAGACACGGAGGGGGACCTGGGCACAGCGGCAACCTTCTCTTCCTTTTGCGGTTTTCTGCCTCATTGTGCAACTGAGGAAATATTTATTTTTCACATGAGGAAATGTGTAGTTTGTAGAGATGGCCGATTTAAGTTACTTCTGGAGCCCCCAAGGGGCTGTCTTCAGTCTGTCCCCTCCTCCCCTAAAAGAAGTGGGGCAGGGGTAATGTGAGGAAACCAGGGTCCAGGGTCCTGCCTCACCCCTCACTCTGGCCTCACCTTGCCCAACCAGCCTTCCCTAAGGGCGAGCAAGGGCCTGGACCCTCCCTGTCCCCAGGAACCACCCCCCCCCGTCCCACCCCTGAAATGGCTTGTAATAGCCAGAAATGTGTCAACTCATTTTTCTTTCAATGCCTTCATTTTCATTGAACAAACCTCTGCTTTTGAAGAATTGGGGGTTTCTGCTTTTTCTTTTTCTTGTCCCTGCCCCCCGCCACCTCCCTCCTCCAGCAAAGAAGAGAACCCATAAGTTTTAGGGATGTTTGTGCATATAGATTTTCATCGTACGTAACTTGTTTTGAAGAGAAGTGTTTCCGTTGTGGGTGTGTCTTGCTGTAAATATTTGTTCATATTTTTGTGAATTCAATACTATGTACCATTGTATTATAGTAACTTTTATAAAGCAAACCATAAATATACTGACTTTTCTTACAGATACGCCATCTCCCTTGCTCTCCTCTCTCTTCTCCTCCTTCTTTCTTTCTGTTGGGGGCACACCCTGCTCGCTAAGGAGCGGGTGCTCCGGTAGTCAGGGGTAGGGGTGGAAGGAGCTAGGTGGGGTGTGGTACATTCAGACCATCTGCTTTTTTAAAAACATACATATTTTTTTCTTCCACTTTTATTGAGCTGTAATTGACATACAGCACTGTAAGACCAGCTGTTCTTAAACTCTAAGCCTGTAGGTGGATTCTTTGAACTGGGACAAGTTATATAGTCAGACTAGACCTTCCACAGCTTTCAAGTTTTCCCTCTAGAACTCTTCTTAAAGCCTTAGGTATCTAACACTGCTAATGGTCTACAATTAAAGGAAACAAGATCAAATATCCTATTTCTATTACTAGAAGATCTTGGAAAGGTGGTACCTCAGAAATGATTAACACTAAGGGGACATCACTCTGGTCTGTGAGGCGGGAGGGGGCTGATAAAACAGTCACCAGTTGAGAAGAATTAAATGTATGCAGTGTTGTGGGTATTCCACAGGTTCTGTGCCCCATAGGTCTCAACTCTGCCTGATCCAGTGGTGGGGTAACCGAGGGACCCACGGAGAGTTTGTTAGAAGATGTCCACTTATCTTTGAGAAGGACAGGCTCAGAACCTCAGCAAAAAGCAGCGTGACTGAAAAGAAGTTCACTTCTTACTAAGGAAGCGCAAATTATACCATGATACCACTTCCCCTGTCCAGTGGCAGATACCAGTGTTGGTGAGCGCGGGGTGAGGGGCACTCACGCACCGTTAGTGGAAGCATGAGTTGCTGCAACCTTTAGGAGGAAAAATGACATGTTAATGATCAATATTTAAAATGCACATAAACTCTTGGCCCAAATGTTCCACTGTCAGGAATTGAACCTGAGAGCCACGAGCAGGCAAGGATACTGTACAAGGACGTTCTTTGCAGCCTTACTTGCGAGCAAAGAAATGAAGGCAAGGGAGGTGTCTCATTGGTGGGCTGTTTTCTTGGAATTGTCCATCCAGACAGGTGGACACAACTAGAGTTGGATTCGTGGGAACAGAAAAGGAGTTGACAGGCAGGGCCAGAAAAGAGAAGGTAGGGGCAGCTGCTGGCCATTCGCTTATTCATTCAACCAATATTTATTGAGCACCTACTATGTGCCAGGTACTCCTCTAGGCACTGGGGCTACAGGAGTGGAGAAAACATACTTCCTGTCTTCACGGTGATTGTGTCCTTGTGGGCGAGTCAGGCAAACATGAAGAATAAATGCTATGATAAGGAGAAAAATAGCTATGAGAAGTGGGTGTCAGTGGGAGAGAGGCGAAACTTTAAACAGGGTGGTCAGGGAAGCCCACTTACCTGACATGTGAACAAAACTCAAAGGAGAAAAGGGAGCCAGCCCTGTGGAGACCCAGGTCAAAGGAGATAGGGAGTTAGCCTGTGGAGACCTGGGGGAAAGGTATTCCAGGCAGAAGGAACAGTGAGTGCAAAGGTCCTGTGGCAGAAGACTGTCTGGTGTATTTGAGGACCAGCAAGGAGGCCTGTGTAGCTGCAGCTGAATGACGGGGAAGCGTGAGTAAAGGAAATGAGCTCTGAGAGGTAGACCTGGTGGGGGAGTGGGGGAGGCAAATGCTGCAGAGCCTTGCAGGGCAGCACAGGGACAACCCAGGGCGTCCAGCCCAAGGCTCACCAAAGAAACACACGTGCAAATCTGAGTTTCTTTCAGCTTTCCTCTCCAACCTGCTGCCGTATTTTCCACCTCGATCAATGGCGTTTCTATCCCACGCCTCCACCCACCACTGCTGCCGCCTCCACCCACCACTGCTGCCGCTGGTTACCTAAGCTCAAAGGCTGGAAATCCTGGGCTTCTCCTTTCCCTCAGCTACCAAGGCTGATGGTTCTTCTACGGTATTCAAATGCATCCACCTCTCCCTCTGTCCCTCAGTCCCACAGGGAAAGTCCTCTCTTCACTGCTTCTGCTGTGGGGGCCAAAGCAAAGCCTCAACTCAAGACGTCTGCATCAGAGCAGACGGGGCTGTGCTGGAGAGGGGCAGGTGCCAGGTAGACTTGGGCGAGAGCCCCTCATCCAGGCCCCTCTCTAGAAATAACAAGAGCAAACACATAGCACTGACACTGTGTCAGCAACAGTTTTAAACATCTTTGATATCAAACTCACCGTACTGCAGGACTCCCCTGGCGGTCCAGTGGTTAAGACCCCGTGCTTCCACTGCAGGGAGCCTGGGGTTTGATACCTGGTTGGGGAACTAAGATCCTGCATACCCCTCAGCCACAAACAAACAAAACGAACAAAAAACAACAACCAAAAAACAGTAGCGCTAGGAGGTATTATCCTTATTTAACAGACAAGGGAAACCGAGGCACTGAGAGATCAAGTATCTTGCCCAAGACCACACATAGCTAGCAAGCGGCTGACCAGGTAGTGGGGCTCCCTAGTCTGTGCTCAGCTAATGAGGGTTGGCTCTGTCCATGCCCCATCTGAAGAGGCACCTACTGCCCTGTGCCAGCTGGTTGTCACTGCACAGGAAGGCAAGGCCAGAACTGCCTGGTTGTCCCAGGTGGAACCAGAACTGTAGAGTTTGTATGTGAAATATCCTGACCTTCTGAAAGGTTGACTCGAATTTGTTAAAATCAGGCAGACGAAATAAAATACATCTGTGAGCCAGATCTGGCCCGTGAGCTACCAGTTTGCAGCCCCCTGTGTTACAGAATTTCCCTTC